ACTGCTCTCTCACTAATCTTTCTCCTCTTTCTTCTTCACTTTCTCTTCTGTTCGAACCTGAAATTCCTTAGTGTCCAAGACTGATAGCAGTCTTGTTCATCTTCACGTACAAAGCATATTAACATGGACAGACACTTTACTAGAGAAAGAATTGCTAGCAAAGAGATTTGCCTTCCATTTGTAAGTTTGGAAGACCAACTAGCTGATTGCTTCACTAAAGGTGTTCACCATCCAAAGTTTGCTAAAAATCTTTTCATGTTGGGCATGATTGACATATATGTTCAGCTTGAGGAGGAATGTTGAGAATGCTTGGGCAAGGGTGTTTTAGTCTTTTCATCATCCTTTTGTATTTGGTTACCCAATATTGGCTTTTTTGTAATTTCTCTTCAAAATATAAATAGTGATTTTGAGGGTGTGAACAGTAACACACACACACACTTCTCTTTGATACCCCCCTCTTCTTCTTCTCCTTTTTCTCTCTTCTTCTTCTACAGACCCTAGGTCTACAACTGAAATAATATTAGTAAGAGCTTAATTTGCCAACAATGTCAAGATCTGCTTCAGGCAAATGGCTGAAGCCTTATTGAATGGGAAACATTTGAAAATATCTCTCTGATGGCATCTTTTTGTGGCAACCTTTTGTCCTAGTGAGTGATTTATCATATTTTTCTATGAACTCTTTTTATAACAGCAGACCAGTCTCCATAATTTGTGTCTACTAAATAAATTTTGTCTTGTCCATTGGTAATGTGACTCCTGAAAAGAAAACTGGACATAGAACAACCATACACATTGCTTTCTCTTATTACAATGAGGTTCTCATTTAAAGATCAATGAGCATAAACAACTTCTACAGTTCTATGTTTTATCTTAAACACATGTTAAATTCTTAATCACTATATATTTCTTGTTTACCATATCTGTTTGTATACATATCTTGTAGAGTTTCAACTTGAACGTAGAGTAATTACGACCATTAGATGCCATTCTATATAATGATAACACCATTTTCCACAAGGTTTAAGAAAAAAGCATATATACAGGATTGTTGCAATCAATGACAAATTGATTTTTTTCACCTTCTACAAGGGAACTCGCACCCTCTGCACCCACGCCCCACGGTGCAGAAAATTTTCTGCAACTGCAAATGAAGTTATGCCAATCATTTTTTTTTAAATCCATTAAATACGGAGTCCAGACTGTTAACAGGTGTGTGGACTCCAAAGAAAAGGCCAAAATACTTAAAACCCTATTGTCAAATTTATCTCTGCCCTTTTTCCTCCTCTCTCCCCCCTCTGCCCTCTGGCTGCTGTTCCTCACTAAGCCTTTGAAAAAGGGATACAAGTCATCTTCTGTATGTGCTGTTTCATTCTCATTCTATCACTAGAATCATGTCTTCTGATCAGATGGCTACAATTTGTGTTCACTGATAATGGTGGTGAGATGAATTTGTTTGGAGAAAAGCAGGAGGGGAGAAAAAGAGTATCTTGGGAGGGAAACAGTTTCAAACATTCCCCAGCTACATTAAGTAGTACAAGTTCAAAGAGGTGAGGAAAGAAAGGGGGACCATTTTGATTTTTTCTTTTTTTTTACAACAGTTGGCTTGAATTTCAAATCTTCCAGTTCTCCAGCTTTTGGTCTTTTTGGAATTCTATTACAGCTTACTTTATATCCAAAATTTTCTCATGCTAATTCAGTAAGTTATTTGGATTGTAGACACACCAAAGAATGTGAACTCTTTCGTAATTTTAATCTTCTTCCCAGTTAAGTATCAATGGTGGTTTTCCAGCAATGCTTCCCAAAATCTTGAAAATTGAGCCTGCCGAGGTATTGTAGTATATGGTTGTCTGAGGATTGGATAAAAGTCAAGCTCTGACATTCAAGATGGACAGCTTCTCAAACACCAGTGATCTTTATGACCCAGGTTATCATCCCTCTCTCTCCTCAAGGGATCAGTTAGATATAGATCAATCACGGAAACCACCAGCTTCTCTACTTTGAGCGGTGATCCATTTGGATACTATAGGACCAATTCTGGAACTTCAGCAGAACCCACTGATGACAACAGTTGTTCTGATGAACAAACTACTTTGGGCTTGCCAATCACCGAATCTGTCAACAGTCATGGCATTGGCTTTGCGAAATTGGAGACAAAGCAACCCATCAAAGTTGTTGACAGAAATCCACTGCTTCATGAGGTTCAGACTCCGGTGAGTTGGTTTAACTTGTACATTTTGTGACAAAATTCTTCCTCATGAACTCTGAACATGGTACTTTAACTAGTGGGGTTCTGCTTCCAGAAGTCAAAATGATGAAGGAAAGGTTTTCTAAGCTCTTGTTGGGAGAGAATATGTCCAGGAGTGGGAAAGGCATCTGCACAGAAGTTGCAATCTCAAAGAGAAATCTTGCATGGTCATGGTGGTTAGGGCTCTAACCTATTGCTTGGTATTGTGAGAATGGCCAGAAGCTGGCAATGGGTGTGGTTGCAGTTGCAGCGGAGGAAAAATGATGGATTGAGAACAGCAACCAGAGCTGGAGGAAGAATGACTTGGTGAGGAGCAAAACTGGCAGTGGTTCATGGTTGCAGCAGCACTCTCATCAGTGAGACGGGTGGTTGTTGGAGAGAGAGGAGCTCGAGGGAGAATAGAGAAGGTGGGGGGGAGAATACGAGACAGAGGATATAGAAATCTGAGAGCGGGATTAAGTATTTTAGCATTTTTGGAGTCCAGATGCCCGTTAATAGCCTGGAATCCATTAAGTTTAATGAATTTCAAAAAGAACGATGTGGCATAACTTCATTGGTGGTTGCAGAAATTTTTCTGCACCATGGATGCAGAGGATGTGACTTCTCTACAAGTTCAGATATTTTGTTTCTGTTCTTTGGTGGGTTGTGATAATCACTTCAATTTTCAATAAATTTACGTAAAAATTTTAATTAATTTCAACTATCATCATTATTATCATTATAATTGTTGTTGACTTGAGCTGTATTAATCATTTATATCTATCCATTGGTAAACTTAATTGTATCTTGATAAGTTTTTATATATTCCAGGGATCCATATCTGTTAGCATGTCTATCTATCAGACACTTTTCTGTTTCATCTGTAGTCACCTAACAGCAGGTGAAAAAGAAGGGGATGAACTTAAAAGAAATGCTGATGTACAAGAAATACATCGGAGGACAAACTTTCATTCAGTTTCTGGTGTTGAATTTCCAAAATCCATCCATGACCATGAGTAAGTCAATTGAAGACTTTTTTTTTTTTATTTTTATTTTGTATGTACATCTAATATGAACATTCCCAATCCTTGTTTTTTCTAATGTGTCTTAGCTAATAATAAACATTTTTTCATCTGCATATGTCATGAATCCTGTATTTCTTTTCTCTTTATGTTTAAAAACATTTTGGGAATTCAACTAACTGATTGAGGTGTCATCCAGTTGAGCTGAGTAGAGCTACTTGAATTTAGGTATCATTCTCCTAAACACTTTTACTTTCCAATTTCTCTATTAGGATGCTTTCTGCCTCTTCCAAAGTTAACCTTTCAAGGAAAAACAAAAAGAAGGGAGTTCCATGGGTAATCCGGGCAGAGCAAGCATAGGGGATGTTTTCAGGAACCACTTGTGTTCGGTGGTGGCTTTGTACTCCAGGCCATTTGGTAATGGTGACTCAATTAAAGCTGAATTGCTAGCACTGTTGCAACTTGCAAGGACTTAGACTAGCAAAACAGCTTGGATTCCCAGAGATAGTTGTGGAAGGGAATTCAAAATTAATTTTATCTTGGAGAAGGAAAATCAATTCAGCTCATTGGATGTACAAGCATGCCTTTATGAAGATATCCTACTACTCAAGGGAGCTCAACACTATCTTTGGTTGGGTTAGGAGAACTGCAAATGGAATGGCTGATGTATTGGCTAAACAGGGGGTTAATAGACCTCAGTTCTTTTGGGCAAGAGTTTAAACTTGTGTTTCTTGGGTTATGTTGGAATGCTCCAACCTGTTATACTTTCTTTAATTTTCTTAGTGCCTAATGAATTCCCTTGCTGATCAAAAGAAGGAAAGACAAAAGGAATCTAGCTTAGTGATTGAAACCTTCTATTACAAAGTATGCATCCACCGTGTTATCAATGCAACCTTAATTGGAACCATGACTTGGCCTGGCTTGGCACTTGAGGTTGGCCAAAGAACCCTTTACCCTTAGGTATGCTAGTTCAGGGTGCTACACTGACAGCCTATGCATTAAGTGAAGTTGCTGATGTTGTGTGGACTAGGGGTGAGCATTCGGTTTATTCAGTTAAAAACCCAACTAAAAAAATTAAAAGAACCGAAACCAAATTATAGAGAAACTGAAATTTTTGGTTCGGTTTTCGGTAAAATCAGATTTTAATAATGTATACTCTAGTATATATATTGTAACATATAATATATAGTATATATTATATATTATGAAATCAAATTTCATTTTATTATATATTAATATATAAATATGTAATATGTTATATATTATAGCTTACATATTATATATTATATATAATAATAGAAAGTTCGGTTAATTCAGTTAACCAAATTTCTAATTCTAAAAACTGAAATCAAAAACCAAATTAACCAAAAATTGAATTAACTGAACCGGCTTAACCAAAAGCTGAACAAAAAATTGAAGGGATGGGAGATCCATCATATGGATGGCCGAACCCTGTAGGAAGGTTGGGCGAAATTTCAAAAATTTTTTACTCCCATCTGGGAATCGTATTTCCAATTTAGAAAGTTGCATTTTCAACGTTCGTTTTTGTAACCAAACTAGACCAAATCTGAAACCAAGATTAGGAAGAGGTATACTTGATACGGAATCCACGCAAAAATGCTCCTCCCAATGCAGGTGTTCATGCCCAAAGACTGTGCCAAATCCTCCCTCCATTGAAGATGACACAACTTAGGATGAGGCAGGATCAGCAGGTAGTTCTTCACCAAGAACTTTTGATTCTTCAACAAGAATTGAATGGAGTAGTGAGCACAGCTTCAGAATTGTTTCTTCTAGCAATAAGCAATATCAAGATCTAATCTTGATCAGTTCCAAGAAATGGAGATCGAACAGGGTAGGGTGGCAAGAGCAGGGAGAGAAAGAACTGAAGGCAGAAACAGTCAATATTGTGTTATGTAATTTTCAGGTCCACCTTGCTCTTTATATATAGCCTTAAAGAGATGATCTCCTAATTTGATTAGGAGTTTCTTGATCCAAATCTTTATTTGGATCTGAACTCTTTAAGTGATAAGGATAATCCCTTATCTTATCTGCAGATCAAGATCAGCTATTCCTAATCAAATTAGGAGTTCCCTGATCCAAATCTCTATTTGGATCTGGACTCTTTAAGTGGATAAGAGGATAATCTACTGATCCATACCCAGATTTGCCCCTATTTAATTAATCCAATTAACACAGTTCGAAATGGGCTTTAGGCCCATTAAGCTTTCAGGCTCACTTCTTTTTAATGCTGGCTAGCTTGGCTCTCTTTGTATGGCGTGGGACCCTATCATTGGTCTACACATCAGCCACATGGTTCAGCCTAGCCTCTGTTACAAGGCCTGGCCGAATTCACTGTAGGACACAGTGAACCCCTGAATCCATCACCATGGGCTCTTAATGGGCCCAACATTTACACTAAATGGTCCTTGGGTCCAGCCATCTTACAGTTTAGGTTTCCATCAGAGAGAGTGCATTTCCCCGATCATTCACTTTGTTCGACAAAGGGGCTGATCCTGTCACTATGATCACCCACTCAGGTGAATTCTCGGGCTGTCCCAACATACCTAGGTTTTGACCCCCGCTAAGGATCTCACTGATTGGCATATCAAAGACAACTCAATCCGATACTTAGAGCAGTACCATAATCGAGTCTAGGGGTCAGGTGTAACATTCCAGTTTTGCCCATCTATCTCTAAGGTCCAGGTTAACACTGGAATTTGGTCCGGTTCAGGGTTTCAAGAAAACCCACACTGCATGTACTTGAGGTCTCACCCTGGCAGCTGAGACAAGCCACCCCAACCAACTTGGTGGCACATTAGTGTCAGCCTTGGTAGGATAAATCTCCCCAAATCTATCCAACGACTGTAAAGATTCTAAACTAACACGAGTCTCATATGTGTCAAGTTTAAGGGTATTACACAGAAACACACCAAAATAACATGAATCAATTATGCACTTTATTCATTTACAATAAATGACAAACATCAATATGATTAGAGCTAAGGGCATACACTATCTAACAAAAAAAAACCGAAACCAAAATTTTCGGTTTGGTTTTTCAGTTTTAACTGAATAGTGCTCACCCCTAGTGTGTGCACCACATCGGGGTACTTATATGGAGTTGTCCTACTGCATGTGGGACCTGCTTGAGATAGTAATATGGATGTTCAGATAGGTTGCAGAGTTGAACCATGTGCATGGAGTTGGTCCAGTATGTTTATTGAAGGACCCTGATATTTCTTTGGCGTCCACCTTGAGAGGTATGCTGGGCTACCCCTTACGGTTCAAGACTGGGTTATTGGACAGGCAATACCAAATCAAAAGTGTTCAGGCATCAATATGCTTGGGGAACATTGTATTCTCCATGAGTCCATGTATTAGATAGGCCAAGACCAAGCACCACTATATTCTTTGTGTCTGAATATTTACACTTTGATATAGATAACTGCTTCTTAAGAATGTTCTTGCTGGAAATTGTTTACTTACTAAACCTTGCAAGAAACTGGACTTGTTAGCAGACCTACTACTGATAGCAGTAGTCATACATGTCCCTCGTAATAAATAGTACTTATCAGTTCACCGAGTCTTTGAGTTCTTTTTCTTCATCATTCCATCTATTTTCCTGTAATGAACTTAAATTATTCATCATCATCATCATCTACGCCTTGTCCCAACTATATGGGGTCAGCTACATGAATCCTATTTCGAAAGAACTTGCATTATTAAGTCTAATTATTCTCTTTGCAGAAGGATAATATGGTTTGGAGATCTGAACTACCGTATCAACTTATCATATGAGAAAACACTGGAGCTCATCTCCAAAAACGAATGGTCCGAGTTGGCTGAGAGGGACCAGGTTATTGAACCTTTACTTCTATTTTGTCATTTAACTTGATGATGCTTTAAATAATTTTCATTGATTTTCCTAATAGAACATGTTTAAAGCATTAAACATGATTCAATTTCAATTTTAGAATAACTCAAAATTATTTGTCTTTCTTTAATAAAAATAAAATTTGTGAAATTGCACATATGTATATTTCTTTAGATGGAAATGGAACCTTCTAGAAGGTTAGAAAGAAAATACTAGAAGTTAGAACAATTGATTGTTGGGATGATGTAACTTTGTGAAATAATAATAATAATAATAATTAAAAAGTATACCCCTCCCAAGACCCAGATAGCTAGGACCAACATTGTATAATAGACTAATGGCCATTTTTAGCTACTGTTCAGCTGGTATTGCCTGTAAAAAAGGCTAGGTAAAAGAGATGGGTCAACTAGAAAAATAAGTTACTTTCCAGTTGCCAGTTTCTAGAAAGAAATGCCAAGAGATTGAATTTCAACCACAAGCTGCTATAGAGCTTTGGTCATAGGCTGAATGGTATATTCTTCTATGAGTACCAGGTCTGATACTGGGACAGAAAACCATGGTAGAGGGGCACCTTTTGATGAATGATAATAAATTTATTAATTCAGAAGCAGATTTAGAGTGAGTTCATACAACATCCCAGGGAGAGGCGCAAGCTGCAGCCCCTCCTTGATTCTTACAAGTGGTAGAGGGGCACCTTATCGCCTAAGCATTGGATTTTTCATTAAAGTAAAACCTATGAACCCTAGGGTAATTCCCTAGGTTCCATAGCAATCAGAAACCATCTTTCACTAGTGATTTTCTATAATCTTTGTAAAAAATGTTTAAACATCATTTTAAAACATAGAAAATTAATATATTCATGAGAAGAAAATGAGAAAAGAAAATTCAGAAAATAGAGGGGCTGAGATGTTCTTCCTTGCTTATTGGTTTAGGTTTTGTAGTATTCAAAGGTTCAAGACAGCAGATGCCAATATATGTGTTGATTGAACCCAAGCAAATAAGAAAATAATAAAAAGAAAATTGTATTTTAACTCATAAACTGAATAATTTAGTTTAATAATGTCTGTTTTTATTATCATAATCTCAAAAAATTAATATAAAAATATATAATAACAGCATGTACAAAATAGCTAGTAGGTGATTAAGCAAGGCAACCCTTTCATAGGCGCCTTTCTCCTAGGCATCACCTTGACAACCGTGACAAAACAATCCTGTTTTGAAAGAGAACCACACAACCAAGAAACTAGAAAATACTGATTTCAAAGAAAATTGCGAAGCTTACTGCAATGGTTGATGCACCGCTGCTCCTCCCTTATATTTGGGGACCCACCCTTAACTGGAAATCTGTTCTTCATTCAGAAGATGGGGGCCACAATTAAATGTTTCCTGTTATGGTGATTATCAGTGTGAAAAAAGATAAAAACTTGAAATATTATTGCAATCATGTATTTATACTGTTAACATTTGGACAATGGAAATATTTTATGACAACTCTTGGAAAGCACAAAAAATAAAACATCAACCAGATGGTAAAACACATAGGGATTGTTCTTTACTGTGGCTGGAAAATGTGTGGTTCATATCAGAGCACACCACCCTACTGTGGTGTGTTCCAGAAGTTCCAAAACCATGGTTCGGGAACACACCATATGTTCTGCAAGCTGTGGGGCAGTGTGTTCTTGAACACCCCACTGTAAAAGGTGTGTTCTGTACTGTGGTGTGTTTTTAAATGAAAATATTTATGTGTGAATAATTAGGTTTGAATGACCTATTTGTTTATTCCAGCAGAACATGTCTTTATATACAATTGGAGTCCTAAATGTTAGGACTTGTTTCCTATTTTAAAAGAGAAAATCTTGCCTAATCTATTCTAAATAAGGAAAMWWTTATATAGCTAATTACACCTGATTTGTAGCCTAAWTTATAGCTAATTTACAGCAAAGAATCCCAACACTCCCCCTCAAGCTGGGTTGTAAATATTTCTCATACCTAGTTTGCAACTAAGATCTTCAAAATGCGCCCTTGGAAGTGCTTTAGTTAGGATATCGGAAGTCTGAAGATTAGAAGGAATGTAAACAGGCTTGATTACTTTCCCTTCTATCTTTTCTCTGATAAAATGCTGATCTATTTCCACATGCTTGGTTCGGTCATGATGAACTGGATTTTTAGCAATATTGATGGCAGATTGACTATCACACAGTAGCTGAATTGTTCCCTCATAAGGTATCTTCAATTTGGCTAATACTCTTTTCACCCAAATTCTTTCACAAGTACCATGAGCCATAGCTCGAAATTCCGCTTCTGCACTACTCCTAGCCACCACAGCTTGCTTTTTACTTCTCCATGTTGTCAAATTTCCCCAAACATAGGTACAATATCCAGAAGTGGATCGTCTATCTGTGATTGAGCCTGCCCAGTCTGCATCAAAATACAATTCCACTTTCCTACTTGAGTTTTTTTCTGAATAACAGTCCCTTTCTTGGAGCCATTTTCAAGTATCTCAAGATTCTGTACACCGTTGTCATGTGTTCTTCAGTAGGGTTGTTCATGAACTGACTAACAACACTTACTGAGAATGCTATGTTAGGCCTAGTATGTGAGAGATAGATCAACTTCCCTACAAGCCTTTGATATCTTCCCTTATCTACAGAAGCACTTTCTTTATTTCAACCAAGTTTGGTAGTGTAGTCCATAGGTGTTTCTGCAGGTTTACACCCAAGCATACATGTTTCTTTAAGAAGATCCAGTACATACTTTCTTTGAGAAACTGCAATGCCCCACTTAGACCTAGCCACTTCCATTCCCAAGAAGTTTGTGAGTTTACCTAGGTCCTTGATCTCAAACTCTCTAGTCAAAAATTCTTTGACTCTTGGAAACTCCTCAGTATAATCCCCTATTAGAACAATATCATCAACATAGACAATCAACGCAAAAATCAGTCCTTCTGAAGAATGTTTGACAAACATTGTATTATCAGACTGTCTTTAGTCTACAAACTTTGTTGATGTTTGATGACCATAAAGTGACTTCTTTAGTCTACAAACTTTGTTGATGTTTGATGAGTTCTGTAGTCCCTGGGGAATGCCCATATAGACCTCCTCTTCTAGATTCCCGTTCAAGAATGCATTCTTGACATCTAGTTGATGGAGGGGCCAATCCAAATTTGCTGCAAGAGAGAGAATTATTCGAATAGTGTTGAGTTTTGCAACCGGAGCAAAAGTCTCCTCATAATCTATGCCATAGGATTGAGTAAATCCCTTAGCTACCAACCGAGCCTTGTATCTCTCAATACTAYYATYTGCCTTTGYTTTTACAGTGAAGATCCACTTGCACCCAATCACATTCTTTCCATGAGGCAAATCAGTAATTTCCCAAGTACCATTCTTCACTAGAGCA